ACAAAAATATGAAATTACACACATACACATGTACACACGTAACATGCACACTCTGTGACACAAGAAAATTTGGGTGACATATATTTAACGTCGTACATTTATATATCAAGAGACTAGAACACGGTGATGTGTGCGAGAAGTAGAAAAGAGAGAGTGAAAGAGAGAGAGAGTGTGAGAGAAAGGAAGAGAGGAAGAGAGTGAAAATGGAAGTAAGGATGGAAGCAAGAATTTTTTAGCGCACTTCGGGGGAACCTACGTTTCGTCGAGGATCGTGGAGGATCAATTATTACGTGTCCATGATAAAAGTTCCTTCAGCGCTTTTTACGATAACGTTGCACGTACTTTCTTTCTCTGAAATTTTTATCCTCTTTTTCTCGTTCTTCTCTTTTTTCGTTCGATAGGAATAAGAAAAAGGCCCCTGTAGTATGATTTTTATCGTTCGTCTGTGTATATCGTGGAATCTATCGGGACTTCCGTCTTTTCTTTTTTCGTTCGGTAAGAAAAAGAAAAAAGCCCCTGTAGTATGATTTTTATCGTTCGTCGGTGTATATCGCAGAATCGATCGGGATTTTCGTTGGTGATGCGATGAAAGGGAAGAAAGAGAACAATAATCGTAGTAAAAGGGAGAATTAATTTTTTCACACGTATCGGTAAACGAAGTAAGGTTCCTCGACGTTCGCATTTTCACGCCACAAACGTGTTCCTGTAATTTGTGAAAATAGTTGTTCCGCTTTTCGACCACCATTTTTCTTCGTTTCCTTCTTCTCTTCGTTTCGCGTTTACGTTGATCGAACGAAAGAGAGAGAGAGAGAGAGAGAGAGAGAAAGAGAAAAGAAACACACGAGAGAGAGAGAGAGATTGAGAAAAAAAACACACACACAGTGGAGAAGAAAACTACGCCGAGCCGAACACACAAAAAAAAAAAAGTGAAAGCAGAAAAAAAACCATTATGTGTACGACGTACCTTGAATCCCCCATTTCGAAAAAGCTCGCATACAGACTACATAAAATTAGCTAATAACAAGACATGGCCATTAGCAGAGAAAATGTACCATTCAGATAGTTTATCATTAAAGAAACGGTAATCATTATAGCTATATTAAACGACATTATTTATATTATTATGCATATTATAAAGATAATTGATAACAGATACTAATCCTAGGGTGAAGTATTTCGACGGGGAAAGGAGAAACACTTTTGAAAATTGATAAAAAGCGACCAGAATGGCGCAGAGGCGGCGGTTGCGCCATTTCGCCCATCGAAATGTCGTTACCGGCAGGATAAAAGAAAAAAAATGACGATGAATAATCCGCCAATTACTTTAACTTCGACAGTACTATTATTTGTATATGCCGAACGATTATGCCGTTTTCAGCGCAACATATTTTGGCGATACTCTTTGGTGGTATAAACTCAAATGGTGATCAATGTGGGGATGACTTACCATGGGTGGGAAAAACGTGGGGGGAAGGGGGTGAACAGGATAAATAGAACAAGGATAATGGTATGGGAAGAATGGGAAATGAACAAACGAACAAAATAAAAAGCAGAAGTTTCTATACTTTTTACGGAGATTGTTATAGATTAAGCGCACACTGATCAAGGCATTCGTCGCTCGGCAAAACATAATACAATTATTAATATAAAATTTATAACAGAAATAAAATAAATGAAGTTAATAAATATGTACACTGTATAATAAACATTATTTCCTATTAATAAACGATGGGGTGTTTTATTTGTACCGTTGCACTACGTCGTGGAACGAGAGAAATTTTCACCTTTTTTGTATTGAGAAAAAAAATATGTAATAGCTGTGGTTTTTAATTTTTACGCGCGATTCCTTGAAAGATTGCAGTATTACTTTTCGCTGGAATTTCGTTATTTGTTTTGTACAGGTTTGTAATTATTAGCCATCGTTTTTCTCGTCGGTGTAAGTATTGAATGAATTTCTCGCATGCTTCAACTTAATGAGACAGCCTAATTTATTAGGTTCGCATTCAATTAACTGAATTGCATGCGGCAGATTAGTTAGAAATTGTTTGTAACTTTTACTGAATATTGAAAAATTGATGCTTCATCTGTGTGAATTATAGACGGAACTTTCAAGCCATCACGGGAACGAAGAAAAGTATTTCAACATCCGGAGAAATGAAGAAATGCGATTATTTATGAAAAAATCAATTATTCGTTGTGAGATTACTGTACAAAATGTATTATACAAAAGGTTGCAACATACCCGTGTTGCTTTACAGCATTTTACACGTATATATACTTCTTCCTTACACGGCAAATCCGTTTTCTTTTGCGAAACGCTCGTTCTTTAAGTCATACTCGATAAAAAAATTAAATAAACCATGTCCGATAAGCGTTACGAACGCGTAATAATCGAGAAAATCCCGAGATTTAACGTAATGTATATATTATACATTTAGAAGTATAGAATTCTGTACGTAAATTATTCGTACTTATTTGTAATTTCATAGTTACGTTTTCTTCTAATTCAAACCACTATTAATGTTGCAATATGTATTATTCTCCTATGCTGAATCGGTAACGTAGGAAGCGACACGTAAATGGTAAGGGCACTCTAAGCCCTCCTGTCGTGGACAGAAAGATGCATCAGGTGGTTAGGTCTACCCTTTACCCCGTCTGCGATACTAAGTTATTGATTCTTTACGATTTTTATTAGCTTTTTGTTTTATTTTTCATTTCAATGTGTAGTGGGGAATTTGAGTGATTAATATAGAATTTTTTGATTGAATTGTGTGATTCATTTTTGTGTAATTCTTATGGGAAAATGGTAATGTACCATCAGTTGTCGTGCTTCCCACGAACGGTAACGTTCAGGTATTTAGCAATAAAGAAATGAGTAAGACAAGGAAAGCAATAGGGATAGACAAGGACAGAAAAATATGACGGGCGAGACTAACGCCATCTCGCGTCCGGTGACGCGAACTACGATTTTTTAATAGGAACACAGAATATAAACAGAGGTATTAGACAAGGAAAGCACTAGGAACTACGACGAATATGTTAATGAAAATATAACGGGAATCTAGCTAAAGGAATAACCTTTCGAACGCATGTATAAAAGTGCATAAACTATTTATATAAAGTAACGAAATTAATGAAAAACCAGAAGAATGTGCGGTATCGCTGCCCACACTCCGCACAATAATTGTTAATAACTAATTACTGAAAGGATTTAGTACAATAACATCTATATGTGAAAGTTGCTGAAGGTCCGCACTTCATTCTTCAATCCTAAAAGTTCACAAATTCGTTGTAAATAATGAGTTATTAACGATTTTTCACCGGCCGACGTGCTTAGGGCCTGGAAGGCGGAACATGGCGGCCCGCCAGCCAATAGGAAACGTTTTATCTCTGTCCTTCTCGCACACTAGTGCTTTCCTTGTCTAATACAAAACAAACTCTAAGCCCTCCTGTCGTGGACAGAAAGATGCATCAGGTGGTTAGGTCTACCCTTTACCCCGTCTGCGATACTAAGTTATTGATTCTTTACGATTTTTATTAGCAAAATCGTAGTCGCGTCACCCGACGAGAGATGGCGTTACTTTAATTTTGAAAATTTTCTGTCCTTGTCTAACAATATTTCAGTCTTATCAAACTCATTTCTCTAGTGCTATCGTTATCTACCCCTATTTCTTTCTTTGTCTAGCACATTTCTCTAGTGTTATCCTCGTCTACCCCTATTTCTTTTCTTATCTAACTCATTTTTGCATTACTAAATACCTCGACGATTTATCATTCGTGATAAGCACGACTACTGATGGTACATAACCATCTTCCAGTAAGAATTACACAAAAATTAATCACAAATCAACGTCAGGGACGCGTACGCGTCAAAATCTCGCTTGCTATACGCTTCAGTGTTTCATAGGGTATGAGATGGACAATTTCTATTCGCGAAGCGTACAGCAAGGTTTGCATCAGTTACAAAGATCGGTCTTAGGTTTCGTGTAAGTACAGATGACCGCGGCAAATTACGCTAGGCGTCATGACAAATGCATGTCGCGGTGATAGCATAACGATGACGCTTTGTGGACAGACATCCACTGATCATTTCACATTGGTCAGAGCACTGACGCGTACAGCAAACGATGTTATGTCGCGTACACATTTCTGACGCGACGCATCGTGGACATTAGGCCTAAGTGTACAGGCACACAGCGTGGTACAGAATCTACGCGTCTGTCAATCTGGTGCATTCCGTAAACATAATGAATAGCTTGAAGATATCTATTACTTCCTTCTCCTCGTACAAATCGTTCACCCGACGAGAGATGGCGTTACTTTAATTTTGAAAATTTTCTGTCCTTGTCTAACAATATTTCAGTCTTATCAAACTCATTTCTCTAGTGCTATCGTTATCTACCCCTATTTCTTTCTTTGTCTAGCACATTTCTCTAGTGTTATCCTCGTCTACCCCTATTTCTTTTCTTATCTAACTCATTTTTGCATTATTAAATACCTCGACGATTTATCATTCTTGATAAGCACGACTACTGATGGTACATCACCATCTTCCAGTAAGAATTACACAAAAATTAATCACAAATCAACGTCAGGGACGCGTACGCGTCAAAATTTCGCTTGCTATACGCTTCAGTGTTTCATAGGGTATGAGATGGACGATTTCTATTCGCGAAGCGTACAGCAAGGTTTGCATCAGTTACAAAGATCGGTCTTAGGTTTCGTGTAAGTACAGACGACCGCGGCAAATTACGCTAGGCGTCATGACAAATGCATGTCGCGGTGATAGCATAACGATGACGCTTTGTGGACAGACATCCACTGATCATTTCACATTGGTCAGAGCACTGACGCGTACAGCAAACGATGTTATGTCGCGTACACATTTCTGACGCGACGCATCGTGGACATTAGGCCTAAGTGTACAGGCACACAGCGTGGTACAGAATCTACGCGTCTGTCAATCTGGTGCATTCCGTAAACATAATGAATAGCTTGAAGATATCTATTACTTCCTTCTCCTCGTACAAATCGTTGGTTCCCCACTATAGTTTCCTGTGCAATATATTATTGTGTCCACAATTTGATACGACATACGTTAGTCAATGATTGGGGCTATTGCATTGCGTCGCATGTATGTTTACGTGTAAGTATCTAAAGTTCCTTCGTTTACTTTTAGAAAAACACCAGTAAGTTATGAGTAAAATTTTAATCTAAATTAAAAATATGTTTTTTGATCTAAATCTAAATCTAAAATCTCTTTAATTTAAATTCTAATCTAAAATTTTAATTGAATTAATTAAGCTCTTATGTACTTATGTTATCATATGTAGTTATCGCAATATCGACATTTCTGTCTGTTACAAATAATCTGTACGTAATGATATGTCGTTCATTTTATATCTAAATTAAAATTAATCTACAACTGATTGTGAATCAATGCAATACAATTGTGCGATCTTATTACAAGTAGGTTATATAAAAATTAATTCTGTGTAGTATTAGCAGAGTGTACATGGCGTGTTCACTGATTTCAGTCAGTGACAGGTGAGTAAAAATTCATCTCTGAGAACAATCTGAACAAAACTATGTATTCCGTGGCATTTTTCAGCATGCCCTGATATCTAATAAATTTTTTTATTAATGTTTATTCCTAATATTATTAATCGCATAGTTATAATTCTTCTTCGATTTAACTGGAGAGTGTTGGATTTATTGATTTCTTAATTTTGATCGTAATCAATCGAACCGTAATTGCTTTCACCATCTACTTAAATTATTGACATTTAATGGCTTATTATAACATTAATTTGTAGACGAATCCCATAAAGAAAACAAATATTTTATAGAGGAAACTTGAAGTAATATCTCTTTAGATTTTTTAAAATAACGTAAAGTTG